GTTGGCCCTCTTCCAGTCCTCCGGCACCTCTCCAGAGCACCACGAGTGTTCATAAAGCCGTGCCAGGGGACTTGCAATGACCCCAGCCAGTTCCTTCAGGACTCTAGGGTGAAGATCATCCAGGCCGGCTGACTTAAAAATGTCCAGCCCCTCCAGAAGCTCCCTAAGTAAATCCTCACTCACTCTAGGCCCAGGTGAGCCTCCCCCAGGGCCCAAAGGGGGCCCAGCAGGGAGGTGGCAGTTCTGGTCCTTACTGAGGAAGACAGAGGCAAAGAAGTTATTAAATATGTTGGCTTTGTCATCTGGCGTAAGGAAGTGTAAGGAAGAAAGGAAGATGAGCCAGTAAATGTTTGAGGTAGCGTCAAAGCTACAAGGTACTGGATGGAGAGGCCATTTCTGAATTGTGAGCGAAAGCTTCTACATGAGAACACAGAGTTAAGGAAAAGGGGGAAGAAAGAGTAGGGGGCAAAGGAGGACAGGAACTGCAGTAAGACTGTAACTTTCACTTGTCATTCATAAGTATTTTATTACCCAGTGCACCATCACCTGCAAATGTCAAACTATAATCACTCATTTAGCTTCTCTGAAACTTTTCACAATGCCTCTACTTATCTTATCGTAAGTAGTACTACACATATCAACAGCTATTCAAAATGTGGTGACTGGTTCTACCTCATTCCTACCTAAACAGCAGCCAGATATTTGTATCCTTCAGAATACTGGAAAAGCTAGAACTATCACAAAGACATGGAAAGAAGTGACATTCTGGTAAGTCTGATTCAAACAGCATATCCTTGGTCTTAAACTCAGATCTGATATGCAGATCTGTTACTTGGACAATCTATAGTTCTAGTTCATTGGTCAAATAAGAAATTAATTTTGTCTTCTATTTTTAAGAAGTTAAAAAAATAAAAATCCAGCTAACATTTTATTTTTAAAATACCTACCACTGACATGCAGACGTTTAAGAATGTTGCAAGTTTATAATGACAGTTAATTCACAGAGCCCATGACTGGTTTCTATGCTGTACATTGGGTGATTTAAAAAGAAACAGAAAATTATTAATTCTATCTTGCCAGCTGACAGAAAATTAAATTATAAAAAACTCATCTTACTGCTATGTATAGAGAATAAAACTTATAATGAATGTCAGAGGATTTTGTAAAAATCATTCATGCAAGTAACTGACAGTAACCCTATCTTGAAAAAATGTAGCCCTATTTTTATAGTTCTAGGAGCCTCTGCACTGCCCCAGCCCTCATTCCTGTTACTGGGGTAAAGAAGATGCATGCTTCTTGCAACATGCCCAAAAGATTATCAAATTCAGATTTTCTAGATGAATTCCAGAGCTCCATTGGAAACATTCACACAATCGTCTCAACAATGAAGGGCAAAACTACCTGGATTTAAAGTACTCGTACAACGGAAGACGCAACACCATTAGAAAAAAAAAAACTATATCAGAAGGGCCAAATGAAATCCTGTTCCAAAATTACAAGGAGGTCAAGTCAGAAGTGAAAAATGCTAAGACATTCCTCAACATTTAATCAGGAAAGACATGTACAAACTGTGCATAAGAACAAAAAATACCACTGATTGGAACAACTGGAGTAGGAATATCCAAGTGGCTGCCCTTGAGTGCGACTAAAGCCAAAATGATAGACAGACCCTGGTTTTCAGAATATGGGAGAAACTACTATCCTTTAGGCTAATCAAGATCTTTCTTCAGAGTATGATAAGACCTCAAGCACACAGCTTTTAACTTGAAAGGGCAATCATTTTGCAGTACAAGCCTAGAATGCAGCCAATTTTACATACATCAGCCTAAATATGTTTTCATGGAAAGTTTACAGCAGGGAAAGGCAGTCCTACCTTAAACCTCATGAGATTTAACCCTGCATTTTGCTACATATTCTTTTCTGGAGTGGGTGGCAGCTGCAAAGAGGAGACGAAAGGCACAAACACTTTGTGCTACAGAAAGCATGAACTGTGCTGAAAATCTTACTCCCTACAAGAAAGG